AAGAAAGAAAATAGATAAGATCGAAACCTAGGCATGTTAGTATCATAGACTAGCAGCCTACTTCACAGTCTCCAATAAAAAGTCTGGGCTAACCGCCAAAAAATAGCAACTGTAGCAAATGAAGTAAAATAAAATAGAAAAATGTTGCGTACTGATGCTCAATTGATACTTTAGAGTATGTCCATATAGATCAGAGATGACTTGTAGAAGGCGATTATGTAAAAAAGAATCACTTTCTTCACACTTTAAAAAACAAATAATTCCAATAAAAATCACAAAGTACTTCGTGCGGCGTTCGGCTAATTGTGCTGGGATCTGAGCGGTACTGTCACAAAGTATGTGCTCAGACCCCAGCTATCTGCCGAACGGTCATTCGGTATAATAGCACGAATAATGTTAAAGTTATGTATTTTTATGTAAAAAGCCAGTTCTGCTGCACGGAAGGATAATCCACTTAACTGGGTATTCTAGTGGGAGTATCCCTCTCGTACAGCAGTGCATGGTGGGAGAAATGTCCTGGTTGTTAAGTCCCCCATGTAGCCCCCTACTGTACAACCCCTGTAAAGTCAGTAAGGAAACCCCTTGCATGGGGAACCACATAAATACTGTGACCTGTGATTAAAACCTCAGTTGACTCCCAGCCTATGTGTCATCTAGTTCTTGGGAAGGAAGGATTTATATAACGCTACCGGGATTATTGTATGCTGTACTTGTTTTACCTGGATTATCATATGCTGTTCCTATCTACCAGCGGAGATACTGTGGATTATACTACCTCTCTGCTAAAGGAAGTGTTTTTTTTTTTTTTTGCCAAAGATATACAGCAGGTTGCTTCCAAAATGTAATTCTCTGAAGTTCTGCCTGTGCATAACACTCAGAATGATAGGTGGATGCTGTAGCAGACTACATTCCCTTGTGTTCGGTTGTCTGTACCCTCCAGGTCGTCTCCTGAATGACTGGTGTGTGGTTCCCCTTTTTATACCTCAGCGTACACCTCCCCTGGCTGTTAACCACAAATTTAACAACTTGACACATTAGCTTGAGTGCTTTCCCTGGGTGGCCACCATTTTGTCTCCTGAACGGAGGCATCGGTATATGGTTGTCGAATGCCTGGAACTATTTTCCGCCACGCGAGTCTGCAAACCCGGGCGGAGTTCTTACCGCTGCCCATTCAACTTTCCGACCACCTAGACAAACGATGTTCGGGTGATATGATCTACTGACTACCGCGGATCATTCGCTCCATAGAAGCCAGTGGGAGCACAGAAACACCCGAAAGCAGACCAGGCCATCTTGCCCAATCCTCTGGAACTGTTTTGGCTATCACCTCGTGGCCAGTTGGTCAAAAGTTTATTCGAACAGCAATTTCGTTCTGCCAAACCGATCTGAGTGCTTTTTGGATATGTTGTGCGCTCAGACCAGGGCTATTCGGGGGTATGATTTTTGTGGGGTTACTGTGTTCATTTCATGTATTTTTAAAAAAATATATGTATGTAAGTTTCTGTATTTGAGAGAAAATTTAATTATCCTAACTTGAGCTCAATTATCTCTCAAACACAAAGGATCTTGGGAATAAACTCTTGTGTTCTTGATGTGAAAATCCCATGCTAGGGGCCAGTGCATAAAAAGCTGTGTGTGGCAGAATAAAGTCAGTTATACTCCTAGAACTGTGTGTCGTCCAGTTACTGGGAAGGAGGTGGTCTTTTTACTTAGCAGTATCTTGTTCCTGATTTCTACTCTTCTGATCCAGCGGAGGAAAGTCCCGGTGAGGACTAGGGCTCAGCTACAGATGCATATTAGGGACTTTGACTTATGGTTTGGTGAATGGTGTCGGGAGCAAGGATTTGGCTTAATTTCTCATAGTAGCTCTATTTAGAATGTAAATGAGCTGTACAAAAAAGATGGTTTGCATCTTTCTCAAAAGGGAACAAATGTTCTCAGTGAGCAGTTCAGAGGTTTTACAAGGATGTATTTAAACTAGGGGGAGGGAGGGGCAAAAGGGTGATAAAACATCAATCCAATTGTCCCCCAAAACAAGGACAGAAAATAACTGTAGCGAGTATGTTTAATGCCAAGTGAGAATGTAGATTTAGTCACTGTTACTAAGTACCCTGGTATTGCTATGTCCCAGTCATTTTTCTCATTATACCACGTCTCTTTATATAGAAAAGACATGGAAGGCAAGAAAGGGGGAGGGGTGGCCCTGTATGTGAAGGATAACATAAAATCTAGCCTAATAAAAGTTAGTGAGGCAAACATAGAGTCCGTTTGGGTTACGTTAGAATTTGATAATCACACAGTAACTCATTTACAGACCCCCAGGAAAAATAGAGTTAGATAATCGACTAGCTAAATTGACAATGAAGAGGAAAGTGAAGTGATGATTGTGGGTGACTTTTTTTAATCTTCCTGATGTGAACTGGAAAACCAAAATAGCTGCATGTGCCAGGAGCACACATATTCTAAACTCCCTGCTGGGATTGTCTCTAAAACAAGTTGTTGAGGAGCCAACTCGTAAAGAGGCCATACTAGATTTAGTGTTAACAAATGGAGATTTGGTATCAGATATTACTGTAGGTGAAAGTTTAGGATCCAGTGATCATCAGTCAGTGTGGTTTAATATAAGAACAGTGACTGAGTCACACCACACAAAAACAAAAGTTTTAGACTTTAGAAAAACAGACTTTTCCAAAATTAGAATATGTGTAAAGGCGTCATTATCAGACTGGAGCAATTTAAATGGGGTCCGAGAGAAATGGGATTATTTAAAAGTTGCACTGCTGAAGGCAACAGAAAATTGCATTAGGCTTGTCAGTAAAAGCAAAACATTCAAGAAACCACTGTGGTACTCTGCAGATGTGCCCAAAATAGTAAACAAAGTTGGCATTTAGGAATTGTAAAAAAATGTGTGTGTGTGTGTGTATGTCAGTATATATGTATGTGTGTGCATAGGAGTTTTTTCATTTTTTTTTTATTGTCCGGCACCCAAAAGTGTCTGAGGGACCGTGAAATGTGACCCTTGTTTAAATAGTTTGAGGACCCCTGTTTTAACCAATCATTGTTAACAGGAGATTGGAAGTTAGAGAATGTTATGCCCATTCACAAGAAAGGTAATAGGGAGGAGTCGGGCAACTGTAGGCCAGTAAGTCTTACTTCAGTAATGGAGAAAGTAATGGAAACCATGTTAAAGGATAGGATTGTTGAACATCTAAAATCACATCGATTTCAAGATCAGAGAAAACATGGGTTTACGTCAGGGAGATCATGCCAAACTAATCTTATTGATTTTTTTTTTTATATTTAAAGTCCATTATTTTAGTTACCCAATCAACCTGGAAAAAGAAACAAGGAAGCGATTTTATTACAAGTATGTAACGGCATCCCCAGGCATATAAGGGTTAAACCACCGTTTAGTAGATCTTCCCTTCCAGAGATGCAGGCACAGCTACTGTAGAACACCAAACTCCCGAACCACAAATAAGGGAATGCTCCAATCTCCCGAACGGCATACAATATAGCACTCCAAACTCCCGAACTGGAACCATACGAATAGCTGATAGCAGCCGAATAGGAGAAGCATCCAAGCGGCTTACACTCCTAGCAATCAGTCTCTATCAGCATTCAGTAAATCGCCCCCCAAAGACGAGACAAGGCTCTGTGTTGAGGGTCAAGCAGTGGTCTGTTTAATGAGGGCTACCTGCCCAGTATTTATGCAGGTCTCCCACCTGGTGGACACTCCCCTAGGGGACCAAATGGGAGACTGTAACAAATGACAGACAATCAGCAAAATAGGACACACAGTCACATTATATTCCCACAATGCATCCTGGCTTCCTCCCCTCTGCCCTGGAGATAATTGAGAAGTAATTCAATTATCTTCCAGGACAAAGGCAAATCGCCATTATGCACGTGGGGATACTAAAATAGGAATTACTGTTAAAATAAACTATGTGACACAAGTTACAATGAATATATACATTCGACATGTCCCCAGATAGCTCAGGTCTAAGCGCACATTATTAAGCGAATGGCGCTAAGACCACATGAATACAGTTTAATCGCGATGGAGCCAAAGTCTTTACACAGTCAGTTTCATGTGAATGGGCTCCATGGGATTCCTATCTGGGGTATAGTGCAGTCAGGTACGTTTACCGAATACAGGGCCGTTCGTGCACTTCCACCGAATGAGAAGGGAGGTCGGCAGCTTCAGCGGTGTTCGTGCCAAACTGTGTCCGTTTTTAGTTCCATGAGTTAGGCGTCGAACACCGCTGTGCGTTCGCGGGTTTAAAATGGCCGCGACCTCGTGTTCGGCATACGAATGGCGGCCACCCAGTATTCGTCAATTAAGCTGTGGTTAACCACAGCTTCTGGGAGGCTAATTGCCGACACACTCCAGCTCCCAGGTCGTCCGTTCATTCGTGCGGTTGTTCGATAGATTGCATCTACCGAACACCGGGCAGAAAAGCACAAATAAGTATTTTCTGCAGGGGAAAAGAGGTCTTTTAACATGGGGCCATAATCCAAAGGCAACAGGCGAGCAACCAGGCTTATCCAATGCAATGTGGCGAGATTGATCTCGTCACAAAGTATATTTGAAGCAAGGTCTTGTTACTAGTGAGGTACCTCAGGGATCTGTACTTGGACCCATTCTCTTTAATATTTTTATTGGTATCATCAGCAAAAAGACATACCTTACCATCGAGACCTTCTGTTGATGTTCCAGGAGGGATAAGCCAAATGGCAAATGATTTAGGTATATTAAAAAAAATGGTCATAGTTGTGGCAGCTGACATTTATTGTGGATAAGTGCAAGCTAATGCAGCTTAAACGTAAAAACCCAAGGGCAGAGTACAGAATATTTGATAGAGTCCTAACCTCAACATCTGAGGAAAGGGATTTAGGGGTGATTATTTCTGATGACTTAAAGGTAGGCAGACAATGTAATAGAGCAGCAGGAAATGCTAGCAGAATGCTTGGTTGTATAGGGAGAGGTATTAGCAGTAGAAAGAGGGAAGTGCTCATGCCATTGTACAGAACACTGGTGAGACCTCACTTGGAGTATTGTACACAGTACTGGAGACCGTATCTTCAGAAGGATATTGATACCTTAGAGAGGGTTCAGAGAAGGGCTACTAAACTGGTTCATGGATTGCGGGATAAAACTTACCAGGAAAGGTTAAAGGATCTTAACATGTATAACTTGGAGGAAAGACAAGACAGGGGGGATATGATAGAAACATTTAAATACATAAAGGGAATCAACACAGTAAAGGAGGAGACTATATTTAAAAGAAGAAAAACTACCACAACAAGAGGACATAGTCTTAAATTAGAGGGAAAAGGTTTAAAAATAATATCAGGAAGTATTACTTTACTGAGAGGGTAGTGGATGCATGGAATAGCCTTCCAGCTGAAGTGGTAGAGGTTAACACAGTAAAGGAGTTTAAGCATGCGTGGGATAGGCATAAGGCTATCCTAACTATAAGATAAGGCCAGGGACTAATGAAAGTATTTAGAAAATTGGGCAGACTAGATGGGCCGAATGGTTCTTATCTGCCGTCACATTCCATTTTTCTATGATCACAGAGCTGGGGATCATGAGTATACCAGCAGTAGGATCACAGAGCTGGGGGGAGAGTGGGGTGGTGAGTATACCTTCAGTGGGATTACAGTTAGGGGGGTGACTATACCTTCAGGGGGAGCACACAGCTAGGGAGTAATGACTAGTACGAAGTAACGATACATCTGTTATGAAGAAATTGTGGTAATAATCTATAGTATATGCCACACAATATACTATATGCTAGTATACTCAGATAAGTGATATCAGATGTGAAGGCAGTAAAAAAAAATCCACGTACACAGTGTAACATTTAACCATCTACTTACTAATGGAAATATTCATATATCTGTGAAATATAAAAAATGATATGTATAACCCTCTTAATAGAAATTCTGATTAGTTTGTATCCCTTGATATGGCTCTCTCTCTCTCTGTCTCTCCCTCTCCCTCTCTTCCCTGCTCTCTCTGTCTCTCCCTCTCCCCCCTGCTCTCTCTCTGTCTCCCCCTGCTCTCTCCCTCTCCCTCTCTTCCCCGCTCCCTCTGTCTCTCCCTCTCTCTGTCTCTCTCTCTGTCTCTCCCTCTCTCTCTCCCTCTCTCTGTCTCTCCCTCTGTTTCTCCCTCTGTTTCTCCCTCTGTTTCTCCCTCTGTTTCTCCCTCTGTTTCTCCCTCTGTCTCTCCCTCTGTCTCTCTCTGTCTCTCCCTCTGTCTCTCCCTCTGTCTCTCTCTCTGTCTCTGTGTCTCCCTCTCCCTCTGTGTCTGTCTCTCCCTCTGTCTCTCCCTCTCTCCCCTGCTCTCCCTCTCTTCCCTGCTCTCTCCCTCTCTCCCTCTTTCCCTCTCCCCCTCTATCCCTCTCCCCCCCTCTCTCTCTCCTCTCTCTCTCTCTCTCTCCCCCTTTCCCCTTTCCCACTATAGTGCCCTGAGTGTGCCCCCACCCTCAGGGACCCCCTCCCGCCCAGCTCTGGAAAGGGGAAAAGGGGTAAAACTTACCTTTTTCCAGTGCTGGGCGGGGAGCTCTCTGCCTCCGATCCTCCTCCGTTCCTCCCCGTCGGCTCAATGCGCACGCGCGGCAAGAGCTGCGCGCGCATTCAGCCAGTCTCATAGGAAAGCATTTACCATGCTTTCCTATGGACGCTTGCGTGCTCTCACTGTGATTTTCACAGTGAGAATCACGCAAGCGCCTCTAGCGGCTGTCAATGAGACAGCCACTAGAGGATTTGGGGGAAGGCTTAACCCATTTATAAACATAGCAGTTTCTCTGAAACTGCTATGTTTATAAAAAAATGGGTTAACCCTAGCTGGACCAGGCACCCAGACCACTTCATTAAGCGTAAGTGGTCCGGGTGCCTAGAGTGGTCCTTTAAGTGCTTTCTCTGTGTGCTCTCTGTGTATCTGTCTCGTGAAAGCAGGCTGCAGTATTTGGTTGTCTAGTGTCTGGAACTCTAAGTCGGACACTCGACCCCACGAGCGCTGTTAATTTTGTACAAACTCCTGCTTCATCTCACAACAAGCCAGGAGAGCGCTGTTCGGTAGGATTGTTCGCACGAACCAGATGAGCAATCGCTAGCTATGAGTCAGGGGGACCGTTTGACTTTTTGCTTGTTTTGGAACTCCTGAAAGTGACCGACCGCTACAACTATTATTCTTTAACTATTTTGAGCAGACTCCACGTGTGCAGTCGGTCAAAACGTTACCCCGGTGGCGATTTGGCTGTGTTTATGGGATCTGAGCACTATTTAGATATGTTGGGCGTTCAGATCCAGGGTATGTATGTTATATGTATTTTCGGGTATTTTATGTTTTATTTTATGTACTTCTAGTGCTTGTGAGAGAATTAGTTTAACCCCTTAAGGACCAAACTTTTGGAATAAGAGGAAATCATGACATGTCATGTGTCCTTAAGGGGTTAAGCAAAGTACACTCAATTATCTCTTAGACACAGACTCCTGGGCGTGTTTTACCATACTTTGGCTGGAGACACCATGTGGGGGGGGGGTTTGTGTATAAAAGTTGGCCATCTGGCCATAAAACATTCCTGTTGTATCCTTCATTAAGTCTTGACTGATGTTTTGGTATGTGAACGAAGAAACGCTTGATTTTAACCACGATCTACTGAGCTTTCGGGATAGTACGAACTAGCTTACTATGCGAACGGCTATAATCACTCAAATCTCTAGCAAACTCTCTGTTAGTTCATCTGTCTCTCTATCCCTTCTCCTACAATCTTTCTGTCAGTTCCTCTCTCTTTTATTGCTATTTATTTCAGACTGTCTGTTATGGGTATACACAGCGTTGGTAGGGATGGGGTTAATAATCTTATTGTCCGTCCCTCAGATGGAAATGAATGGATTCTCCTCCCATTTATTTCTCTCCATCGTTCGGTCTTGGTCTCAATGCCTAGACTGTTCTCTAAACACACAGAGCGCTGAGTCACGGATTCTTCTGATGTTTCTTGACATGGCTAGTCATATGGAAACATTCTGTCTACATTTGGTACAGCATTCTTTGTATCTAATTTTTTTTTTTTTTTTTTTATTCCGATCTGCAAATAAATTTTTATGGAAACTTTTTCCTCTGCACCGCCGATCAGACACACATTCTCCATCCTTCTATCCAGACATTCTTCACATTATCATCCAGGCACACTCTGCATCCTTCCATCTGGATGAAAATATGAAGAATGTCTGATACATTCTATATCTTTCTGTCCAGACATCCTTCATATTATCATCCAGGCACACTCCCATCCTTCCGTCCAGACACATTCTGTATTCTTCCGTCCAGACAACCTTCATATTATCATCCAGGCACACTCCCATCCTTCCGTCCAGACACATTCTGTATCCTTCCGTCCAGACAACCTTCATGTTATCATCCAGGCACACTCCCATCCTTCCGTCCAGACACATTCTATATCTTTTCATCCAGATACAATCTGTCTTTACACCCAGACACCTTTTCCATCTGTCCATTCTGTCTGTTTAACATATATGCCAACACTCTAGTCCAGAGGTAGGTACTCCAGATGTTGTGGATCTTCCCTGATATTTTGCCAACATTATGACTGGAAGCGCTTCATGGAGATCCCCTCCTCTATACAGCTCACAGTGTATGGGGCCAGGGTGGGCATGTGCTGATGGCCCTCCTCTATCCAGCTCACATTGTAAGGGGCCAGGGTGGGTATGTGCTGATGGCCCTCCTCTATCCAGCTAACGTTGTAAGGGGTCAGGGTGGGTATGTGCTGATGGCCCTCCTTTATCCAGCTCACATTGTAAGGGGCCAGGGTGGGTATGTGCTGATGGCCCTCCTTTATCCAGCTCACATTGTAAGGGGCCAGGGTGGGTATGTGCTGATGGCCCTCCTCTATCCAGCTCACATTGTAAGGGGCCAGGGTGGGTATGTGCTGATGGCCCTCCTCTATCCAGCTCACATTGTAAGGGGCCAGGGTGGTTATGTGCTAATGGCCCTCCTTTATCCAGCTCACATTGTAAGGAGCCAGGGTGGGTATGTGCTGATGGTCCTCCTCTATCCAGCTCACGTTGTAAGGGGCCAGGGTGGGTATGTGCCCTCCTCTATCCAGTTCACGTTGTAAGGGGCCAGGGTGGGTATGTGCCCTCCTCTATCCAGCTCACATTGTAAGGGGCCAAGGTGGGTATGTGCCCAGGGCCCTCCTCTATCCAGCTCACATTGTAAGGGGCCAGGGTGGGTATGTGCTGATGGCCCTTCTCTATCCAGCTCACATTGTAAGGGGCCAAGGTGGGTATGTGCTGATGGCCCTCCTCTATCCAGCTCACATTGTAAGGGGCCAGGGTGGGTATGTGCTGATGGCCCTCCTCTATCCAGCTCACATTGTAAGGGGCCAGGGTGGGTATGTGCCCTCCTCTATCCAGTTCACGTTGTAAGGGGCCAGGGTGGGTATGTGCCCTCCTCTATCCAGCTCACATTGTAAGGGGCCAAAGTGGGTATGTGCTGATGGCCCTCCTCTATCCAGCTCACATTGTAAGGGGCCAGGGTGGGTATGTGCCCTGGGCCCTCCTCTAACCAGTTCAGTAGTGTTTGTTTCATACTCTTCTCTCTTTGTGAATGTAATTAGATCCAGCTTTTATGTACATCCCAATAGCAGTTTTATTTTTCTGCTTTTTGTGTACGTGACCTGATCAAAGCCTCAGTTTTTTTTTTTTTTCTCGGATACCTGGTACGTCTCATTAAAGTTTGCCCTGAGGTTTCTGGCTATGCTGTGAGGGTCCAGCCTAATAGTTTCCTTATGTACAGGGGGATGGTCGGCTCAACTGTACACACAGAGGCCTATTCAGCATCAAAATGTGCGCTCCACTCACTAGTACTCTTATTTATTTTAGTGTAGACATGTCCTGCGTGCACAATTCATCAGCAATCCTCTAGCATGTAAGCTGGTTTATGCAGGGCCCTCAACCCCCTCTGTTCCTGTGCGTCCAACTCGTCTGGTTTTACAAATACTAGTCCACCCATTGTACAGCGCTGTGGAATTTGTTGGTGCTTTAAAGATGATAATAATGAGCCCCTAAAATTATTTATTAAAGCAGAAACATGATTTTTATTTGCATTTTAACTCTTATATTGTTTGATATTAGAATAAACTGTTTATTATGCAAATAAATTCTGTACAGAGACTAAAACAAAAGGTCCCTAAAATATTAAAGTGAAATAAAGGGGGGACAGCGTAGCTCACATTATGTCTAGCTGTGCAGAGGGGACA